TACCGTTTGGGAACATTTTAAAAGAGTATCTGTAACTAATCTTGATGATATAAGTATATTTAAAGCAAAATGTAAATATTTTACACATTTACTTAGTATTGCATCAGCAGGGATACTAGCTATCTAAAAAGGCATGCTCAAAGACAAAGTCAACAACTTGATATTAGAACTCAAATGCAATTAGGGGGCTCATCAACTGGTAATTTGTAAATATTTTCATATGATCCTATACATTCACAAAATTCTGTAGTTGATTATATTATTAAAAAAGAACAACATGTTACTACTAGTGAATGACCTATTTTTTAGAAATGATTCATGGAGGTTTTGCGCTGCAATATCAATGTTTTTTAAAAATACTATTAGAAATAGGATTTTAAAGAAATTTAAAGATATTAAAAGTGAATTATTTGACATTTTAAAAAATTTGAATGAAATGGTTTGTTTAACATCTGATTTGTAATCAAATAATGGTTTAGAATATCAATAAATCATTGTAGATTTTATTGATAATGATTAGAAATTAAATATAAAAAAATCATTTCTTTTAGATTAGTTGAACTGCTATACACGAGTAATTCACTTGGGGTAGAAATAAGAAATGTATTATATAAGTGGATTTTGTAAAATAAAATATTTACCATTAGTTTAGATAATGCAACATATTACAATCAGACTGTAACCCATTTGAAATTAACTTTACAATTACTTATTGATGGTGATTTATTTCATGTTTGTTATTGTGCTCATATTTTAAACTTGATTGTTAAAAAACCTATGTATGTATATGACACTTCTCAACTAGTAATAAAACATGCAATTGTTACTATTATATCTTCTGCTAATCGAATTTCAAAATATAGAAAAAAATTGTCAACGAGAAGATATGTCATTTAAAAAATTAATTTTAAATATAAACAGCATGTGAAATTTAACATATAATATTTTAAAGAGAGCTTGTAAACAAAGAAAAGTAATAGATTTATTTTTTTGAAACAATATCAATAGAAGGAGTGCTGACTCCCACATAACTTAATTGGTACCAAGTAGCCTTATATAAAGATTTTTTAAAAGTTTTTGATACTGTAACAAAATTATTTTCTTATATTTATATTCCTACTTCACCATTTTTTTTACATATATTAGTAGAAATAATGAAAGTTTTCACAAAATATATGGGTAATAAATATTATGTAACCATTATTACTGTAATGAGAAAAAAAAAATTGATAAATATTTTGATTCATTGCCTCATGTTTTAGGTTCAACCATCATAATTGATCCTATGTATAAAGAGATAGTTTACAAAAATTTTTAGATCGTATGTTTGCTGACAGTTTGCTGATCAAAAACAACTTGCTCCTATTATAAAAACATGTAGAAAATTATTTGAAGAATATAGGAAATTGTATTTGCAAATACACCAAAACAAGCTACACTAGTCTTATCTCAAGGTGAAAGATTAAGTATTTTTTCAACAATAAAAAATAGAAAAATATTTCAACATACAAGCATAAATAGTTTTGAATTACAACGTTATTTGGATAGCTTACTAGTAGATGATAATGATGATTTTATATTTTAGATTGGTGGAAATAAAATAAACCTATGTGATATATTAACTGTTCATATTTCTACAGTTGCTTCTGAAACAACTTTTAGTGTAGGTGAACGAGTGTTGATTGATTACCGCAGTAGACTTTTATCCCAAATGGTTGAAGCACTGATACTATCGAGAGATTACATGCGTGTGCTTACGAAAAGACAAATTATAATGAAAATGAGATAATTCAATGCAATTTGGATGATGTATCATCAGACAACGCAAGTGAATTGTCTGTTTCCTCCAATGATTGATCAACAATTTTTGTTTCACTATTTCATTTCATAATGTATCTATTAGATTATTGAGGTGGAGTATAATATAAATGATTGGTAGGCTAGTAGATGCCGACCTAGTTGAGATATACTTGACTTATAGTAATGCAATTTCTCTATCATCATCGTTAATCTATATCTATTTTATTTAATGATACAAATTTTTGTAATATTTTATTTCATTTTGAAGTAAAAATTATTCATTAAATAAATGTTATCTATTTAATTTAATGATTGTGATATTTCATTTCATTTTGACATGTATAAAATTAAATACCACCATATAACCAAATATCTTATTAATCTTAATTAAAATACTCTAGTATAATTTTTTTTTTTTTTATTCCTCATAAATAATTTATAATATGTCTATCATTTGTTTTTCGCATAAAAAAATGGGCTTATCAGGCCTGGCCGAAACCCTAATTTAAGTGGATCTAGGTCTAGACCAGGACTAATCCGACTCGGCCCAAAAAATAGCAAGAACCCATGAGACCTGAAGGCGTGTGCCGACCCAGTATGAACTCAAATGGGCCGCGCCAAAATTACACCCATACCGGCCCCCTTCCCATCTAGATCGGGACCAATCCAGCCCGGCCCAAAAAATAGCAAGAACTCGTGAGACCTAAAGGCGTGCCGACCCAGTATGAGCTCAAATGGGCCGGGCCCCAATTACACCCATACCAGGCCCCTTCCCATCTTTGTATGACGACTTTGGTACTTGGATTCCACCAACTAAACAAGGTTTAAACTGTTGTGTCTGTTAATATCTATAATAAAAAAAAATTGTTGTGTCTTTTTTTCTTTTTCTTTTTCAATTAATTTTATTCTGATTCGGTAGCTCTAAATGGTATATTCAATTTTAGGGAAAATTAACATTAATCTTTTTTAAATTTGGAAAAAAATACAAGTAGATACATAGTTTTGGTATAGAGTGCAGATTTGTAAACTGAATAATGTTGTGATTGGTGGAAGAGATGGGGTCCATAATTTTATTTTAAGTAATTTAGAAATAGTAGAAAATATAATGTATTGTGATTGGTGAGGAGTATCGTCACGTGATGTCCCAGGAACACCAAAAAAAATTTCAAATTTTAATAAAAACAACATCAGCCACAACATACCAGATGTGACACAGTAGTTGTGCAAAATGTGCTATTCCCTCTCTTTCCAGCACATGATGTTAAACTTTGGGTTAGGGGGTCACATGTACAGATCATGAACTGTCTCATAAAACAAATCTCAATACCCATTATATAATATGATATAATATAATAGTTTCTTTTTCTTATATATTAGACTTCAAATAAATAAATAAATTTGAAACATTATTTTAATTTCAGTTTTGAGGAGGTCATGAGCCGCTCAAATCGGTGAGCTATTGGAGGTAGTGTATTTTGAATGAAAGTAAAATAAAGATAGAATATTGTAGGCTTTTATTTTTAATACATTAATAAAATGTTTTACAAAACAATGACCCATGTATGAAATGAGTTGACTTTTTTTCTGTTGCAGTCATATAATGTCATTTTAATTAATTTTTTTATTTTAAAAACTGAAACCAATCATTAAATAGAGTTGGCTGCTAGTTATATCAATCTTAAAAAGTCAACTTAATCCCCCCCTCCCCACCAAAAAAAAAAAAACAAAAAAACAAAAAAAAAAGGAAGAAAATTATCATTTAATTGTCTAACTTTCTTTGAAAAATAATCTAAGCATAAAAGAAATTCCACAAAATTATATGATTAAAATTGTTTAACTATATTAAATTTAGTGTAAGTGATATTTAAAATGGGACATTTCAAATAATAATCTCCTATTTTCACATAATAATGAAGTGTGTGACTCAAAATACCAATAATACATAACTATATGGATATGAGTGCAATAAAACCAATCACATAATAAATCATTAATCTTAATTATATCCTTGGACTTATATTCAACAAAATCATATAGTTATAATTCTTGAATCAACTTAATTTTTAATATATTAAATATTTAAAATAAGACACATCAAATGATAATCTCATATTCTCATATTTTCACAATATAGGCATGAGTGCAACAAACCAAGCATGTAATAAAATTATAAAATCTTATACAAGTTGGGCTTGTCTTCTATTCACATATGAATTGAGCAAGTCTAGTTCAAGACCATGAGTCTACTATTGGCCCGTTCTAATTATTTCATACATTTATAAAAATGGATAGATCTCCTAAAAATAAACGGTTTAATTTAAAAATACTAGTCATCACTTTTTTTAAAGATAAATATAATAAAATTATGTGATAATAATTATTAAATTAATCTAATTTTTTTTATTAATCATCTACCCACAAGATTCTATAAGATAAACAATCAAATAAATAAATTAAAATCTTTAATAAATCCAAAAGAAATTAGATGTACCAACTTGTTTGGCTCCACCCATGTAAAGCATCTAGGAAAAAACCACCCGCTCTCACTCTCACTCTCCCTCCACATAACTTTCAAGGTTAATTTTAAAAACATTAAAAACATTATAAGAATAACAATTAATTGAGCAATCTAAACTAGGTAACAATCATAGAAAGTTGATTTTGCCCCGTTGCATGTATATTTAAATAATTAAAATAAAAACTAAAAACTAAAAAAGTTGTTGTTTCTTTATGTAAACGGCCCATGTGCATTGGTGGGCCCATGAAAATTATAGAACGGACTCCACAAAGACTTGCTTTTTATTTTCTTAATTGCATGTACACCTTGCAGCTATCAAAAAAAAAAAAAAAAAAAAAAAAAAATTAAAAAATACAATGTTGCATTATTGCTCCCTCCATAAGAGAATTTGTTCCTTTTGGGACCCCAACCCACAAAGTAATAGTAAACTTCCCTCCCTACCCTTTAGGATTCCCAAATTTTTGTTTTTCTATACCAAATGTACCAGTAATCGCCACCAAATACAAGAATTTTGAATACAAGAGAACGGAAATTTTGAATATAGAAAATTCTAAACCCCTCTCTCCCACGCAGATTGTTTTGTTTTGGGAAGTAAGAACCCTTAGAAGAAGGATTTGTGAAACAAATTAATAAAAATGAGATGTATAAAAGTAGGGTTTTTTTTGGGTTTTTGATTTTTTTGTTTTTAAAACTAATTAGCGATTAGGAACCAAAGGGAGCCCTATGAGGAATGCCTTTTCTTCTCCTACTACTTGCAGTAGAAGGAGGTGGGGGTGGCGTGGGCGGGTATATGTCTTGTTGTGAGGCATCACGCAATTCTTCATCCTCTCTCTCTCTTGATGATGATGTTGTTGTTGATGATATGCCTCTTCTTGACATCCCTTCACCTGTCCTTTCCATTAATACTCCCTCATTCTTTGCCTCTAAGGTAAAGCTTGCATCCCCATTTCTCTTTATTCCTACAAGCTAAGTCATTAAACCCAAAACATAAAAAAAACCACACCAAACCAAACAAAGAATTACTATTACTACTATTTAAATGAAAAGAAAAAAAAAATCCTATTTGGTAAATAGTTAACATTATTGTTAAATGACCTATTTAAGCAAAAAAAAAAAAACAAGAAAACCCATTTGGCAAATAGTTAACATTATGATGGGGATTATGATAATGATGGACATTAGGGGTGATGCGGGCATGTATGGTGATGGGGCTATGGGGTATATGATGATGGGTTATGGTTGGATGACACTCGTGATGATGATTATGATGATCATTGGTGGGTTGCAACTTGCAATGATAGTGATTGTGATGGTTTTTATGAAAATGCGAGTATAATGTATGTATGATGGGGTTATATCATATGCCCATTAAAATGAGTTGGATTATCAATGTCAGATAAAAAAGAAGGGAATAAAAGCACATTGAGATAGTCTAGTCGGCCAGAACACCTATTGAATCTTAACAAGTTAACGGCTCAAATCTCTTCCACCATTTCAATCGGATTCTGATTCCGATGTACTAAAAATAAATAAATAAATAAAAATAAAAATAAAAATGAAAATGCTAACCTTGCATCCCAATGAACAGAATCGAAATGGGTCCAAGAGGCTCCTCCCACAAATTTCACAAATGTGAGAAACTCCTTTCCCAGTACTCTTTGGCTGAGGCCTCTCATTCAAAAACATGACTCTAGCACTGTTTATCACATAGGTTTGGACACCACTTATGTCCAAAACCTTCTGAATCTCCGATACCCTCACTACATCATGGTATGATGATCTCCTTATCTGCAACCAACAAATCGAAAAACCTTAATGAAAACATAAAACAAAAACAAAAACACTACCAAACACGCCATTATTGTTTTTTCTATTATTACAAGATAAGAATCGATCACAGAACCAACCACAAAGAATGAACGAGTACCTGAATGACTTGATGATCTTTGTGTTTTGATGAGCGGCAATAGAAGCAAAATGAGTGGTGGTTATTGCAATCCAAGCAAAACATGTTGCACTCGCTCCGGGCAGAGTCGCCGTGGGTCCGGCACACCGAGAAGAAACCTGCGTTCAGCAATGGCTCTAGCCATGGTGGAACCAGCATTGTGTCCTGTTTTGATCAAAACCCAGATAATGAAATTTGAATCTATTCTACATTATCATATTTCTAGAGAGAGAAAGAGCACAATATGTGTGTGTACATATAATGAATGTGTAATTGACATTACCATATTGAGAGTTGATGAGTTTGATGAAATGGGTTTTGGAGGCAATGTGTGTGTATATCTGTTATGGAACTGTTAGATCCTTCTAATCATAATGGAGATTTTTGCAGAGAGAATTACAGATGAAAGTACAGTAGAGAGAGAGAGTTTTAGAGAAAGTACAGTAGAGAGAGAGAGTTTTAGAGAGAGAGAGAGAGGAGCCTAAACAACCTGAAAACTTAGAATTCAACAAAAAACAGCAAGCCTAGACTAGAGGACAAGGCCTGATTAACAAATTTTTAATAACTTTTACCCAATCAACGGCTGAGATCAAGGGTGGTGGCTGAGGTTGATTTTGGACCGTCCGATTGGAGGAGAGAGAAGCTGCGTTTGGCGCTTACGCTACTTTGGATCTTCCTTGCGTCTCTACGTACGCGATGAGGTCGGCCGCCAGGCTACGTCTCTCTCGCGTTACCATTCCCATCTTCTGACACGTGTACAGTATTCCACTTGGCAAAATCAGGACGGTCTATAGAAGGAGGACCCCACATCGTTAATATTAAATAAATGGTTACATACTTTTGGAATACCAGATATACCCTTGATGACTGGGGATATTTACAATAATGAAGCTGACGTCATCCAAGGGGCTATTTTGGTCATCAAACTTGGGCCGCATGCTATGTCCGAAAGATATTTATTATTATTTTAAAAATTCAGAATTAATATTTTAATCAATTTTAGCATAAATTAACCCCTCAATTGATAAAAATATATATATATATATACACGATAAATCTAACAATTTTAATATAATTACATTGAATATTTTTTAAATTTTAATCTATTTAACATTAGCTCATTTTTATCAATAATTTGTTGGTTATATAAATAAAAAATAATATTATCATCTCTTTTATATAAAATGTATAATTTACATTATTTATTTTTGTGTTTTTTCATCATTTGAATTAGTTTAATCTATTTAATCTTATTAGAAAAGAGTCAGTGTAATTATATTAAAATTATATAATTTATTACTCATATTTTTTAAAAAAAATTAGGAGAGATTAATATAATTTACTTTAATTTTATATATGTTTGATTAAGAAAAACAAAATATTAGAAAAATGACATATTCTTACAATGCTGCCGGCAGCATCATAAAGTTTGTTGTTCTGGTGGGTTACAGCATTACAAAAAATAAATTATAAATTTTCCACATATGTCTATTGATCTGGACCGTTGATTTTGTGGATTATTTAATTAAAATAGAAGTTCTTAATTGGATAATGAATAATAATTGTCAAGATTATGATGCAATGTGTTACTTATGATGTTGAATGCCTCAGACCATATAGTTTTATTGGATATAGGGTCAATACGCAAGGATATCTTAAAAATATAATATTTAATTTACTTTTCTTTTCTTTTTTTTGTAAAATATATAATTTACTTAAAGATAACTTTTTTCGAAGTCTGTAAGTCTCGCGATCCGTCTTTGCCCCCCCCCTAAAAGAGTAGTGCTTTTGGTGTCTTGAGCTTTGTTATATATTGTAACAAATGTTTACTTATAGAAAAATATAAATTGATTTCTTATATGGCCATTCAACAAAAATGTTATTGAGAACGAATAAATACCATTTTTCTAATTAACTCGAAAGACTATTAGGTTTTGTTTGATTAAAAAGAAAATTTAGTAGAAAGTAAAAGTAAAAGTAAGTGAAATAAAAACGAAAATATATTTTCTTGCAAGCCTTTGATTAAGATGAAAATTTTGTCAAAAAAATGTAACAAAAATTTAAAAGTTTAGTTATAGATAACTCATACATTTAATTTTTCTTGTGTTTTTTTTGTAAGAAACAAAAAATTTGTTACAATGTTAATGTGGGTTGTACAAGAAAATTAGTTTTGTTATATTTTCTACCACTTTCAAACTAAACAAACATAGATTGAAGTAAAAATTAATAGGAGGATCCCCTCCACTGGAAGGCGCTATTTTGGGATCCATTACGGGTTCCGTTTCAATGATTCGAACGTTCATTTTGTTAAACACTTTGTGTATTTCATCCACACAAACAATTAAGTCGATCCGATAATTGTAACTTATTCAATCTATTACGTTTTTAACTAAAAGTATTATGATTTATTTTTTTAAAATAATTTTTTTTGGATTAAATATACGATAAATTGAACAAATTACAATTATCAGATTGACCTAATTTTTTGTATGGATGAAATACACAAAATGTTTGATAAAATGAACAGTTTGGATCATCAAAACGAGACTCGTGATAGGCCCCACAGACTCAAACAGAGCTCTGCAATCCAAAATCTAAACTGGAGGAGATCCTTCTCCAAATATATTCCCCTTCCAAAGATTTTTTAAATTAGTAATTTTTGCTTTTTGCATGATGCATTTTACTAAAAAAAAAATTACCGAAAGAATGTTATGTATTAATTTTGCTATTGGACTTATTATTGTAAAGTTGTAGTTTGTTTTTTTTTTGGATCAGCAAAGAAGAGATATATTATTGATGAAACAGAGACCTATTAAATCAATACAAGAAAAGAAGGATGAAAACAAAATGTAACATAGCGGATGTAAACGAGTTGGTGAGGATCCAACCACAACATCACAACAACCTCATCAAAGAAGAACTACCCAACCCTGCTACAAACCACACCCCCAAAACAGCCAACACAGCATAAAAATATAAATATACACCACCCAAAGCACATTCACATAACGAAGCTAGAACAAAAAAAAAAAACAAAACAAAACAAAACAAAACACCACCACAGAGTAAGCAAATTGACAGACCAAACCTGCCCCAACACCTCCCTTCTTTTATCAGTAAAGTTGTAGTTTGTTGATCCTTGAACTCTAGAAAAATAAAATTCAAAATAAATTCACACCAAAATGATGACTTTTGCTCTCTCTATTTTTTGTTATCTTGACAAAAATACTAAAATGACTTGGAACAAAATGTATATTGAAACGAAATGTATTTTAAACATTCTTTCTCTCCCCTTTTTAGGTTAGGGGACGGGGGAACAAGAAAGACCAATGAGAACTTTTGACAAAAGAGTACCCAAATATCATATGGTCGGATTAACATTTCTCAACATTAAAAAAGGGAGACTTATGAAATGAAAGGTCATGATACTTGTTAAACAAGAATTAGATTGTACATGACAAATATGAGAACTACAAACCAGTCTAAAGAAATTATTAGCATATTTCATCGATAAAACTTCTTATTCTATGTGTAGTTGAATGAAATGAAAGCGAAATAGAAAGGAATATTCATTCTTTAGTCTTTTTACAGAATAATTATTCATTTATAATGATGAATTATAATTTCATTTGTAATATTTATTTATTTATTTTTCTATATTTTGTTTATTAACCAAACATAAAAATAACTATTATAATAGAATAATATAGCCCTATCCACACTTTTGATTAACCAAACACAATATTCAGATGGGGATATGGTCACATGACATGAAGCGGAATGTTAGGTCAAAGAAATTGAGTGCACTCGTCACGAATTAGGCTTGAATTTAATTAATACACGTAATTTGTAAATGATTATAGGTATCCTGGATTTGTCTGTAGGACAAGTTTAATGTGATTCTAGTTTGAAGGGATATAAATAAACGGTAATTATTTAAAACTCTTGAAATCTTATGTAGTATAATTTACACAATACTCCATTAATGGTGTGGCAAATTGAGAGATAAGAGATAATCAATTAGTGTATTTTGCAATTTCTAATGTGATTGAACGTCACTTAGGCAATATGACATGATATTCTATAACTACTTAGAGCATTTCTAATAGTTTAAGCCAAATTGGTTTTGCCAAAACCATTTTTTGACTTTCTACAGTACCCACCAAAAAAAAAAATGGCTTTATCATTCCAATGGTGACTTATCATTTTGGCACAACCAAATGCCAAATCCAACTACTATGCCCTATTTTTTGACTCTCCCATAATTATTTATTGTTTGATTCTTTGATTGATTTCTAATAATGGTTTACTATTTATCAAATTGCTATTTATTGATTTCCACTCAACATGATTTGATAACAAAACTATTGTGTTATTGCAAATATTGTGGTATTTTTATAATTTTTATTATCGTTATTAAGGTTTTGTGATTTTTGAAATTTCCTGTAAAAGTTTAGGAATTTGGTAAAGAAAAAATAGTTAAATTTTGATAAGAAATCTGATGTGGCAAAATAGTTTTGACAACAATGATAGAGACCACTAATTTTGGAGCTCTAAAAAGATCACTAATGACATGGCACTCAATAAAAAAAGAAAAAAAATACAATACCAAGGCCAAAACATCAAATCATTCATGGTGAGGTCTACTGCCACATCATTAGTGGTAGCACTAATTAGTACTCCCACTCATTTTCCTAGTTTTGACAAACATAGAATCAAATTTGGCTCAAGATTTGACTTTGTCATGCTTTGACATTCAATTTGGCTCACCATTGGATGAGTGATTTTGTGAACCCAAACCATTTTTTGGCTTTAGCAAAGCATTTGGAAGAACCATTGGAATTGCTCTTAGGGCCCGTTTGGCAATTTAGTTTTTTTTAGTAGGCTTTTGACTTTTTATAAAGTGAAAAAAGTTAATGGCTTTTTTTTACCGAATAGATCGTTATAAGAAGAAAAATGATTGATTAATATATATGATGTAATATTTTGACTTTTTTAATTTAATTTATTTTTTTTTTAACTTTTTAATTTTTAAACAAATAACAATAATTTGACTGGAAAACGAGGCCTTAATAAGAAAAATACTAACAAATTTTATAAACTTCTTCATTAACTAATGTGTCATGCAAATGAAGCATGTAAAGCTAACATCCTTAACACTCCTCTCCTCAAGTATGTTACATACCTAGATAAACCATCCTGGAAAGGCTCTGAGAGTGGGAAATTCACACCTAAAGTTGCCAATAACATCATCCTAAATGATAATGAGGATTTGACAAACTAGCGGTGGCTTTGGAAATTGAAAATCCCTCAAAGAGTGAAGAGTTTCTTGTGGATTATGATGCATGGTAGACTGTTACCAAACCTTATGAGAGCTAAGAGAGGCATGGATATTCACCCAAAACACGAGAGGCATGGATATTGATGGAACATGCCCTAGATGCAAATGTCAGTTGGAAGATATGTCTTATCTCCTTAGAGAGAGCAAAAGAGACA